CAGGGGCATACTATGATCTATCCAACCAAAACTCTGAGGATCTTGAGATGGAGAAAGAAATATAGAAGACAACCAAAGGAGAAATTTGTGTAATAATGTGCATGTTCAGTTACTGTCACTTGACAAGATAAATGTAAGTTTTAGTTATGACAAGCAGACTATCAATGAAATCCTAAGAACATTTTTCTGGAGGTAAGCCCCAGATTTTATGGTATTCATTACTTTTACTTACATTTGTACCTTGTTTCTCCAGCCCCCCCCCCCAAAGGTCCTCAAAGCAGGCCACAATTAATTAAGCAATATAAAACTTAACAAAATAATGAAGTAGAGTTTTAAAAAAACCCAAGAAGAAATAAACTAGAACAATGAAACAATATATAAAAACAACCACCCCCTGTAAGGCAGTTAGTTCCTAAAAGTCCTTCTCAACAAGGTGTTCCAAAGAGCAGACACAACAACAAAGAAAGCCCCTGGCTAGCTGCCAGCCTCAGAAACAAGGTCTCCAGAACAAAGCCTCTCCTACAACTGAGATGGCGTAGATCAGAAAATATATTAATGTTCTGGAAGTGAAAGGACATGCTGTCATTTGTGTAGTGTCACAGGTGAGTAGTTCTCTACACTGGATGCTAGTAAGAATATGAATAATTTCATCCCAAATCACTTAGTAGAAGATTATAATCATGAGTTTTGAAAATAATTATTTATGGGAAAAAAAATCTGTACAATCCACGTCTCCTTCCCCTTCAACTCTCACCCACAGCAATAACAACACATAACCACGACCTTGAAATCTAAGACTGATATAAGCCAACTTTTAGTCTAGCACTTGATTCCATTTTACCCCATTATAAGCCTGACCCTAATTAACCCTCTTAGCAAAATGGAATTCATTGGCTCTCAAGGACAGTCTCCTTGAAAAACAATGTCGCAATGCCATTCAAATGCTTAAGTAATGCTACTTTATAAAGGGATTTGTGGTAACAGCCCTTGAATATTAATAACTTCTTATGCTATGCTTTGACAATCATGTTAATGTAAAGTCAAAAGACTGAGCTCTATCATTCACAATATGTAAACTTACACAAGTCGTTTTTGTGAGTTTTAAGTTGGGTAATGATGTAGCTTTTCCAGTTGGAACACAGCCCCAAATGAGAATTCATAGCAATGGCAGGGATAGTATGGGTTGCTGGACAATAACAGGAGTCAGGGAGTGCATGGGGTGCCATTAATGACAGCATGACTTCTTCTGGGGAAAACCTAAAAGTGACATCATGCCTCTCTAGGAATCCCCAGAAATCCTACGGTAAAACTATAGAGTTTCCAGTGATTCCTAGAGAGGACTGATATTGGCCTGTTGGAAATTGAAAAAAAATTCTCCTGCCACTGCTCTGAGTGGTGGCAGGAAGAAAGATTGCTTGCTGGAGGTCTCTGACCATAGAGGGATACCTGGCAGTCCTATAAAGGTAGGGCTAATTGGCAAGGTCCCTGAGCCAGTTTAGTGATTAAGAGAGTGGACTCTAATTTGGGAGAACTTGGTTTGATTCCTCACTCCTCCACATGCAGCTGCTGGTGTGACCTTGGGTCAGTCACAGTTTTTTCAGAGCTCTTCTCTCAAGAACAGTCTTCGAAAGAGCTCTCTCAGGGTGTCTGTGAGGAGGGGAAGGGAAAAGAGATTGTGAGCCACTTTGAGACTCCTTCAGGTATTGAAGTGTGGGGTATAAATCCAATCTCCTCTTCATTTGAAACTGCGTGGGAAACTAATATTTCCAGTTTAGATTCTATGAATCACCAAGCCAGTCCATTATTGATCTGTCACCAGGAAAGTTGAGGAAGGATCTCACTTGGTGCTGGGTCACATCAGCGAGCCCCTAGTTGTGTGAGTGGCACATAGGGGAGCAGATGAGTACAATTTAAATGTACAAACTGAGATAAACAAAGCTAATAGTAACACATCAATTTTAGAGACAGGGTGGAAATGCCCAAAATGCTGGGAGCCAGTAGGCTGCCTGTTAGTTGTGACTATAGTTAAAATGTTACAGTGAAGCTTTGATAATGTAAATCATCTCTCTTATATATAAAAGCCGAATGGTGGTGGCTTCTGTCCTATGGGGTGGTGAGATTGCATGCACTCCCTTAGCCATCGGCCCATCGGCTGCCAGTCAAGACTACTGGCGTGCCATTGGCCGGGTCTGCTCCTCTTCCCCGCCCACTCCCCTTTCAGCCACTGTGCTCTGTGTCAGAAGTACTTCTTCACCCAAAGAGTGATTAACACTTGGAATTCACTGCCACAGGAAGTGGTGGCGGCTACAAGCATGGACGGCTTCAAAAGGGAATTAGATAAGCATATGGAGCAGAGGTCCATCAGTGGCTATTAGCCACAAGGTATAGATAGGGACTCTGGGGCAAATGATGCTCTGTCATCTTGGTGCTTGGGGGGGGGAGATGGAAAGCTGAACAGTGAGGGGGAAATGAAGGTACATTGATGCTTGGCTGGGAAGGAGATAGGGTTGCCAGGTGGAAAATTCCTGGAGATTTGAGGGATGGAGCCTGTAAAGAGTGAGGTTTGAGGAGGGATGGGACCTCAGACAGGTACAGTGCCATACACTCTGTCCTCCAAACCAGCCATTCCCTCAAGGTGAACCATTGTTGCCAAAATCCAGCTGAGGTTTGGAGATCACTCAGAATTCCAACTGGTCTCCAGATGGCATCGATCCGTTCCCCTGGAAAAAATGGTACACTCTGTGTCCTTGTACCCTGCTGAATTGCCCCCCCCCCATGACAGCCAAGGTTATGCGGCAGGGTTTCAGAGCACGATGGGGGCTGCTGGTGGGTGGGGGGATGTACAGCTGATCAGTGAGGGGGAAATGGAGGTAGGTTGATGCTTGGCTGGGGAGGAGATAGGGTTGCCAACTCCAGGTGGGAAATTCCTGGAGATTTGAGAGATGGAGCCTGGAGAGGGTGAGGTTTGAGGAGGAGTGGGGCCTCAGACAGGTACAATGCCATAGACTCTCCCCTCCAAACCAGCCATTCCCTCATGGGGAATCACTGTTGCCAATCTCCAGATGGGGGCTGGAGATCACTCAGAATTACAACTGCTCTCCAGATGGCATTGATGCATTCCCCTGGAGAAAATGGTGGACTCTGTGTCCTTATACCCTGCTGAGGTTGCCATGGCACATTGATGCTGAGTGCCCATGGCCTTGGCACTCTCCCAGAGCCTCTTTCTAGCACCCATTTTATTTTTTTCCACAATGGACCTTATTCCTAGTCTAATAATAAAGCCTAGTTTTAATCCATATGTTGGTATTCTGTGACATTTGGGGGGGGGGTGACATTCCTTATATAACTCTGTCTCACACCCAATGAGTAAAGATCTGTCATACTTTTTGAAACTGTTGAACTATGCTTAGGACCCTTATATTGCCACCTTAACCTTAACAGGACTAACTTTTTACTAAGCCCTCTCCTCCAGACATCATAATGCAGTCCTGGTAATATCCAAATGACATTTACGTATCTCCCCAAAATATGAAGATGACACGCTCTCAATGACTGAAATAAAGATTTGGAGCACAGAAGAAGCTGCAGAATGGTTTAAAATGGAAGATTATTGCACAAATAGAGTAGCCACATTTAAATACACGGGATTCTGATCCTTGTATAAAAATCTCTCTCCATGTTATTCCTCAGCTGCTGGTGCTCAGAGTGCACTAGGGTTGCCAACCTCCAGATGGTGGCTGGATATCTCCTGGGATTACAACTGACAGATATCAGATAGCCTGGGAAAAAATTGGCTGCTTTGGAAGATGGATGCTATTGAACTCCCATTGAACTCCCTCCCCTCCCCAAACCCCATCCTTCTCAGGTTCCACCCTCAAAATCTCCAGGTATTTCCCAGCCTGGAGCTGGCAATGCTAAAAGGCATGTATCTCCACAGTGTCTTGATTCAGGAGAGGTATTCTATTTTAGACTGTTTTGTGGTCTGTAGCATTAACTGCAGAAAGAATCTGTGTTATATTTATGTAGCAAATCTGACACAGTGTAATTTAATAGTACCTATTCTCTTAGAATTCTTTGTATAAGGCAGTAAATGCAGGGAACAAGAACGGGATCAAGGGTACTCAAAAGTAAATTATTTTGTTTGCCCACATTCTAAAAGTACAAACTGCAGTGATAATGGCAGTGCTCTTTGATCAAACCAACATGTGTCAGTCTTCACTTTGATGGACCAACATGTAAGACCATACTTATGGCTCATGCCATTTTAAAACTGAACTGAGATTATGAATTACTTAACAATAAAAAGCCCTACAAAGTATATATCTGGTTGAAGTGATAAGTATTTAAGCTAGTATTTTCCTAAATGATATTTGAATTTTAAGGGATTTTGTCAAACTATAAACCCCAAGTACTTCATAATACTACAGAACATACATTATTCTGTTTTAAACCCATTTGTTTTATTCTAACAGTCTTGTTCTGTACTTTTAACTATAAAGCATTAGAATAACAAGCACAACATCATTTATAAACCAGGATGCCAGTGAAGAATTTAGCATGCATTCCTGTTCTCTTATGCCATATCTGTGCCTTAGAACATCAGAAATTTTCAGTTGTAGATATTACACATTCACTGAATTGTTACATAGCTGAAATATATTGAATTGGCTCCAGACTAAATTGGCAATTTCCACCAGTTCTCCCTTCCTGCTGCAGACACCCCTCAAGTCAATGTTCAGGGCCGCCTATACCTCTGGACAGCAGTGGGTTGCAGTGGGGGTGGAAGGCGGGAAACTTCTGTTGTTGGAGAATTTAGTTTGGATCCAACCCATTAATGTACACCTATGATATTATATTGCCCCCCCACCCAGTCGGAAGAAAGAGTCAGACACATGGGTTGGAATGATTCGGCCAAAAGACCTGAGTTTAGGCATTCCCCACGCCCGTGGAGGCAGTTTTGCAGTCCAAGAAGCTCGGGGCAAGTTGTCTCCACGGTAGCCATGGCCAAGGTGAAGGAAACCGTGCAGTGGGCGGTCTTGGTGGTGGCAGTCTGCATCCTAGCAGTGGAAGTCGCAAGTCAAGTGCCTACAGTGCAGGTGTTTACCCGCTATCCTCCGGAGATTGGCAAGGAGAACACCTTTCAGTGCTACGCTGACTGATTCCATCCTCCCAAAATCCACATCGAGCTTCTGAAGAACGGCAAGCCAATGGAGAGCCAGAAGAGTGACCTTTCTTTTCACCAGGACTGGGCCTTCCATCAGCTTGTCTACACCAATATCACTATTGATAGGAAGACCGAGTATGCCTGCAAGGTGGAGCATGAAACCTTGCACGAACCCCAAATCCACAAACTCGAGTGGGAGTTCTGAGCAGCTGTCCTGAGGAAAAGAAGATTGGAAGACTTTTGCCATTTGAGATGCGTTCCAGCCATGCTATCCTGAACCACTTTTTTGTGTGTTATCCCTACTTTGAAATTATTGCTTTGGTGGAAAAAATATTGCACCCTATTTTGCAATTTGAACTTTAACAGTAATTCCGCCTTGTGTTGCTTTTGTTTAACTTCATTTATTAAAATCTTCCGGATGTTTGTTTGGATTTTACTGGGGAAGGGAAATATGCTGAAAAAAGGTGTGTGTTTGAATGCAACCACTTTCTTACCTGGCATGTTGTACTGCTGTTGTGATCCGCCCTGAGCCACTGGGGGGAGGGCGGAATATAAGATGAAATAAATAAATAAATAAATAAATTTTTAAAAGGGCCACGTTATTAACTATTTACAAACCATAAGTGGCAAGGGTAGTAACAGAGTGGAACAGGTCAAGCTAGGGGTCACTCCAGACCCCTCCTTACCATGAATTGGGCGAGACACCCTGCCCCGTTGTGAGCATGGCTTGAACCTGGCTGGCCAGGCAATCAGGTTGCCCTTTGAACCTCCATCCCCCCAAGCTGCACAACTCGGGAGGAGAACCTATCCAGGGGGGATCCACAGGCAGTCTGCATTCACAGCTGTGAGCTGCACAACCCACCAGCCAATCCTGTCAGTCTTTTTACACACAAAAGTGGGGTGCCAAGTGGTGCTCACTGATTTGTTTTAAACTACCGAACTCTCTCCTGCCAACACCAAGGCCAAGCCAGGTTCTAATTCAGCAACTATGCATTTGGCACCAGACACATGACTTTCACCTTTTGAGGCCTCACAAACATCTTTGTCATGTGTCTCTAGATCTTGCTTCTTAACCTTCCTCTTCTTGGTCCAATATTCACTTATTGGTTATCTTATTGAAATATGTATTTAAGTTATGTGTACCTCAATATTATTTGACCTCTGAAGAAGGCCCCAATAGGGCAGAAACGCGTCAGGTCATGTGTATTGGCCCTTGGGTTTAGGCTATACTTTTTTACGAGGCTTTCATTGGTCCCTTATGTATGTTTTTAACTGTCTTTCTAATAAATACTTGTATTTTTGTATATTATAAGTTTTAACTAGGTTTTTAGTATTAGCCCTTCATTAGACTTTCTTCTCACCCTTTTGGTTCTTGATTCAAGCCTTGCTTAGGCCCTTGCACCTACCAGCCTGCCAAAAGCCGACTGCAACCCTTGCTGCAGGTGTTCAAGGAAAATCCTATTGCCCTTCTTCAAAAGATGGATACCATCCCCTCTGTACAGGTTGCCAAATTCAGCCTGTATATCGGGGTGAGACAGATAGGAACCCAACTCACCTTCTGTAGCTCTTAGTTTGCTTTGCAACAAGCCCTCTCAATGTTGCATGGATCCCATGCTATCTTCCAAACCAGGTGGGGCAGCATCATGGACCAAATTATGTGTACTCCAGGCCACTTGCTCTGAATAAATTAGCCTGAGCTTACAAAACAAGGGCATTGGCCTTCACCAAGCCAAGGTCATTCCCACCAAGGTGGATGACCAATATGTGAGGTGGAAGACCCTTCCTCCCCTCAAACATCAAAGGAAAAAGGCCCATTCATCTCAGGCCCCTGTGCCCACGCCACTTGATCGTGGGCCATTCACTGAGCCCAAGCTGGGAACCAATCTGCGACCATTTGGCTTGGTAAGCTGTCCAAAAGATCATGCTGGATCTGCAAAGGCAAAGATCCTTCACCTCCTGGGGAAAACCATAGCTCCTAAAAAGGAAAGCACAATGAACAAGGTACTAAAGAATTCCAAAGTAACAATGGGGCTCAAACAGGGCTGGAATGCCAAAGAGCACCACTGCCCCATGCTCTGAATAGCCGTGGATGCTGAACCAATCCTAAATGAGTGGGTGCTAAATTTGACATGTGACAACCCCAAGGTTTCCAGGGCCTGTGTTGTTACTGCCCAAAACTGATATTTAGTTAACAGGGTGGTGTGTCAAAACAGTCTGCCCTGCTCTTCCCCCTCATGCCAAATAATGCCTGGAGTGGGCATAGCTCACCCTTGGAATGGGGACCTAGGGTAATCTCCATCCCTTCTGTTGCTGATCATCTTGGAGCGTCTTACCCCCAAAATAATTTGGTCACTGACAGAATGAATGTTGCAAGCTGTCAGGGCTCGGTCAGACCCATCACTATGTGATTGGATGACTAGCTCACTGATACGAAGAGCACCAAAGAATGTGGTCAGGGTAGCTCCACGGAAGAGAGAGATTTCAAAACTAGAATGGCAGACCCCTGAGATTTCAAAACTAGAATGGCCCATGCTTCCTGAAAGCCCCTAAGGACCTCCAGAGAGATAGGCTGCCTGTCATCCCTTCAGGGTCCTGGCTCCCGGGCCCAGCCCTCTAACATTTTCCTAATATGGAAGTCAGCCATGACCTTGCCCATCCCCTTGGCTTTTCTGACGAAAGCCAAGCCAGTGAGATGGCACCCAATTGACTTTATAGCCAAGCAATTTCCTTTGAAATGCACACAGTAGTGTATTAAGTGCTCCACTGGGATATTCCATGCCTCTCCCAGCCCTGCCTCCTGCCTAAATGCACCAAACTGCTGGATCTCCTGGTGCTAGGGGCTACAGCTAGCACAATCAGCCTGTGTGCCTCTGCCCTCCCAACTGCCATAAATTCCAGGGGCACCTGAGTGGGCAGCAAATTGGCTTCTGGGGCCAGCAGATGAAACCTCTCCATCTGTTTCTGAGATAGAGCGTCAGCCACTCTGTTATTAACTGCTGGCACATGCTTGGCCAAAAACAACATATTAAGACAGAGGCAATGCAGAGTGAAGGCCTGCACCAGTGTCATAACCCAGGGCAGTATGGATGTGAAGGAGTGGATGACCTGAACCACCATTAAGTTGTCACACCAAAAGTGCACAGAGTGGTTAGCCAGCTCCTTCCCCCACAGCCAAATTGTCACCACTATAGTGAAGAACTCCTAGAAGTTGAGATCCCTGGCAAGGCCAACTGTCTCCCACTTATCAAGCTACTGTGCTGCACACCAGTGTCCACAAAAATAGATCCTGAAGCCCATGGAGCCTGCAGCATCTGAATTTACCTGCAGCTCAGCCTCAAACCTCATGTTATTGCTCCAAAAGAAATGCCACTAAAGGAATGTAGGAACTCATCCCAAACTGCCAAATCTTTGTGGATGCTGCTGCTTACCCTAATTCTATGGTGCAGGAGGCATACATTTACCATGGCATCACAGAGCCTATGTAAGAAGCCTTGGTCAGGTGCCACCAACTTACAGGCAAAATTCAAATGCCCAACCAACTGTTGGTTCCAACAAAGAGGCCTTTGTCTTATCCCTGAAAGACACTATCTGGGCATGCAGGTCCTTTACCTTGCCTGCAGGAAGCAAAGATGCCTGATGAACTGTATTCTGTTCAAACTTCAAGAAGGTGTGTTGTGTATGCTGGCCGCCACAAGGGGCCAGCAATGACCCAGGGCTTGACCCTGGGTGGACAATGGAAACCAGGCTCTTGGTCTCTCCAATGGGAGCCAAGGGAAAGGAGGAGGGAAATTCAAACCTCCCAATGGGATCCAGGGGTGTCCCCTGGATATGTATATAGTTGGCCTGCTGGCCGTTTGTCTTTGTCTTAGTTGTGTAAGAGTCAAGCGTGCACCATGTTATGGGAGCTGAGCAGGCCTAGCCACGCGGTCAACCCACTACACAATAAAGTGTGTACAGGGGCCGGACCCTCTGTTTTTTTTTCTTCATGTGCCAACAGAACACCCAGCTCATCTGCCAATCTGATGAAACTAGCTAATAACCAGGAACATTGCCCTGAACCTGCCAGGCCCACAAACAAACAAAAATCATCCCAAGAAGTTTACTGTGTCCACTAAACCTGCAGTGCTTATTCAAAAAATGAACTAAAGCATTCAAAGGCAGCACAGGAGACAAAATACCCCATTGGTAATGCCCTGTTCACATTGAACTGGCCTTCAAAGGAAAAACCCAACAGTCCAAAATTTACTGGATGCACAGGAAGAAGGTGAAAGGTGGACTTAATGTTACATCCAGCCATCTCCACTCCAACCCCCACTGCTTGAACAAATGGTGTGTACTTGACCGAGCAAATGTGCTCAGGAATAGCATCATTCACTGAACTAACCCACAAGTAAGATAGGAAGTGGATAAAGCAGTACTCTGCCATGGTCTTCTTGGGCACCAGCCGTAGCGGTGACACTTATAAGTTGGGGACTGGAGGGGCAGGGAAGAGTATGAGGACACTGTCCTCTGCACACTCCTTGGCTACCTTTTCCCTCACAATGTGCCCCTTGCCAACAACCAAGCATAAGCTGAAGGCCGTGAAGGGAAGCTTAGGGCCCTGACATGGGATCCTAAAACCATGAGTAAAACATGCTAACAAATAAGAACTATCTACATGCCTGGGGCATATGCTGAGCCACTTCTCAAGTTATCTCAGTCTTATTAGGCTGGGTCCCTTTTCCAGATGATTGTGTGGAGCTCCCACCACCACCAGGATGCTTGGCTCCACCCCTCAGCTTTGCCCTGGGACATGCCATGCACAAATGTGATCCACTACAAAGGGGGCATCGGTGGCAGTACGATTTCCTGGCACACACCCCTTTGGGAGGTATTCACCTAGCAAAGCAGTCCCTTTGGGAGGTATTCTCCCAGCAAAGCTGAACTAACTACCTCACAGGGGCCAGAAGTGCCAGAGACATGGTGGACTAGATGCCTGCTATCAGACCGATCTGCAGGGTTGGGTTTAACTGGCGACATCACCTGCAGTCACAGCTGCTGGTGAATCTGGTCCCATGGGAGGGTTGGTTTCATGGTACCCTCATCCTAAACTCTTCATTGTACTGAAGCCATGCAGAAACAAGCAAGTCTGTGTACCCCTTCAAAGTTTTGGTTCTGACCTTCAAGGTCTTGAGTGGTCTGGGATCAATGTATCTGCTGGACCACCTCCTCCATTACATGCTGGGGAGAGCATTATGCTCTTCATAGAACAACTTGCTGGTTGTCCCCGGCCTTAGAGATATCTGGC